GGATTACAAGTGTGTGGCACCATGCCTGGCTATTTTTTTTAAATTGACACATTATAATTGTACATACTTATGGAATATAGTGTGAGGTTTCAATACATGTATACATTGTATAATGATCAAATCAGGGAAAGTATAAATTGCCTTATATATTTATCATTATTTTGTGGTGCAAGCTTTCAAAAGCTTTCTTCTAGCATTTTTTTTTTTTGTAGATGGACACAATGTTTTTATTTTTATTTATTTTTATGTGGTGTTGAGGATCAAACCCAGGGCCTCATGCATACAAGGCAAGCGTTCTACCACTGAGCCACAACCTCAGCCCCTCTTCTAGCTATTTTGAATATATAATACTTCATTGTTCACTATAGACACCCTGCTGTGCAGTAGTACACTAAAACACATTCCTTCTCTCTACTTTTTGCTTTTCTTTCTTTCTTTCTTTTTTTTTGTACTGGGGATTTAACCTAGGGGTGCTTAACTATGAGCTATATTCCCAGCCCTTTATTTATTTCTTACTTTGAGACAGGGTCTCACTAAGTTACTCAGGGCTTCACTAAGTTGCTGGCCTGGAACTTGGAATCCTCTTACCTCAGCCTCCCGAGTCACTGGGATTGCAGGTGTGTGCCATCACGCCCAGCCTCCTGTCTACTCTTAACTTTGTACCCATCAACCAGCCTCTCCCCATCTTTCCCTTCCTTTGACCCTCTTCAGTCTCTGGTAATCACTATAATCACTATTCTATTCTCTACTTCCATGAAATCAACAACTTCTCTCTCTGTCTCTCCTTTTTTTTTTTTTTTTTTTTTTGGTACTAGAGATTGAACCCAGGGGCATCTAATCACTGAGCCACATCCCCATCACTTTTTTGTAGTTTATTTGGATACAGGGCCTTGCTGAGTTGCTTAGGGCCTTGCTAAGTTGCTTAGGCTGACTTTGAACTCATGATCCTCTTGCCTCAGCCTCCAGAGCTGCTAGGATTACAGGTGTGCTCCATTGCACCAGGGTTATTTTTTATTTTGAGACAGGTCCTCACAAAACTGCTTACAGTCTTGCTGAGTTGCTGTAGCTGGCTTTGAACATGTGATTCTCCTGCCTCAGCCTCCCAAGCCACTGGGATTACAGGCATTTACTACCCTGCCTGGCTTGACATCAACTTCTTTACATTCCTCATATGAGTGAAATCATATAGTATTTGTCTTTCTGTATCTGGCTTATTTTGCTTAACATAATATGCTCCAGGTCCATCCATGTTATCACAGCTGACAGGATTTGATCCTTTTGTTGTGAATAAATAGTATTCCATTATGTATATAAGTACCACATTTTCTTTATGCATTCATCTGTTGGACATTTAGGTTTATTCTAAATATTGGCTATTGTGAGTAGTGCTGCAATAAACATGGAAGTATAGTTGTCTGTTCGACATAGTGATTTCATTTCCTTTGGTTGTATCTATTAGGGTATATTACCTATTTTTCCTCATAAGGGGATTGATAGATTATTTTTGCCTATTTTTGAATTTGAATTAA